TCCAAAGACTACATGTCGATACAGGTCAACAGAGACTATGATAACCAGTTCTAAGCAAGTAAAGACTTACATTACAAGAACCTACAGTATGATGTAAGAAAAAAAGCAAAAGTGTTAGTATGCTGTAGTCAAACTAAGTGAGATTGAACATACTGTCACACTTCTTCAGGCGACGGTTGAGTTGCATATTCCGTTAAGTTCAGGCAAAATCCGTGCTGAGATGCGTTCCATATATCCAATCACCCAGTCTAGAACCATTCTTAAGTCTACCCGTCTCACCTTCAAAAACTCTTTGACTATTACGTTCTCTTTGATGAATTAAAGCTCTACGTTGAATGGAGAGAGATTTCTTGTTGTTTACTCTAACCATAATAAATATGAGCTATTTTGCTGAAAAGAAAATAAAGAGATAAATATCTACATTAATATAGTGCTTATATTGACTCCATTCAATCTCTAGTTTTTCAGTCCTCAGAAAGTATCGGATGTGTGGCGTCCCCTTAATACTTTAATAAACTTAAATTATCACAGTAACTTTAAGTATTATTTCTTAAATCTTCAACGGATAAAATGTATTTCATTAAAAAGAAACAAAAACTTACAAAAGGGAAATAGCAATAATTTTGGTAGTGGAAAATTTTTTTTTGAGAAAAAGAAGAAATTTGAAAAGGGATTTTTATATTCAAATAAAATAGCATGAGAAAATTTTAAACGACATGGGAAAACAAAGGATTATTGATATCCAATTGGCTGATGATGATTATCAAACAAGAAATTTGTATAACATGATAAGATATTTTAGAATCATCACAAATGTAATATTCAAGCTCAATTTAATATATGCACATTCAAAGTATAAGAATATAATTATTTTTATTTTATGTAAAATTTATACGTTATTTCAAATACTTTAATAATCAATTTTTTTAATAAATCATTTTAAACGTCATGGGAAATTTTTCTTATAAACGAGTATTTATTGGTTGTAGAATATAAATATGATGAAATATATAGTATTTTTGTGACTTTTTTACGTGATATATTTAATTAATAGATTGTATAGTAATTTATTATTTTAGTTAAAGTATATTTTTATTTAATATTTAAAAAAAAATATAAATAGATAATTTAAAAAAACTATCGTCAAGATCTATAAGGAATAGAAAATTAGCATCTGAAAATGAAAAAGAGAAAATTCAAAGCCAAGTTTATTTATTATATACCTTCTTTTGGGGAAATTAGATAATCTTCAATTGGATAAAAAGGAGGATAATCAGCTGGAAGATTATCAATTTTCTCCAATATTTTCTCAAATTCAGAATCAACACGATTTTGAAACCTAAAAAAAGTTTGAGTGGATAGATGATTTAGTAGCAAACTAGTTAGTTATAAAAACTAAGTATGCCTACAGCTATCTGAATTACTGCCAATATGCAATACCAAAGTGAAAATATACATCAATATCATGACGTGCCATCCATATTATGTGAAAATACACGTTAGATGATAAACATGCTGTTCATAAACATTAGAATCACATATTACTATAAAGTAAATTAGATATCTACTAGAATAGGTATACTTCTTTTTACTATGTCTTATTCTTCTTTGTAATTTTCTTCTTTGATGAACATTTTTAGATTGTCGAGAGTTGATGTGTACTATCTTTTATTAAAGTTTAGAAAATTTTGGATTCTGAAAATATAAGATATTTAAAGGATTTTGAATCAACAGCATGTTTGTGAGAAAATTTTTGTGTTTCAGGAGTAAACATGAGAAAAACAAATCTTCTACATCAACAAAAAGAAAAATTTCTTCAAATGAAAATATTTTATCATCATGAATGCATTGAAAATTATTTGTGTCAGTAAAATTGGATTTAACAAAACTGTTGCCACTTAAAATTCAAGGGGTCAAATGATCATGCTCATTTCACTAATAAATCTTGTTTATAGATTGATAAACATAATGAATGGAGTTCATTTATTAGACAAAAATAATATAATAAATCTTTAGAATTATCACAATGTAATATTCAAGCTTAATTTGATATCTATATATTCAAAATACAAGAAAAAATTTTTTTTTGATTTGAATATTATTATTTTTTATTTTTTTTATTTTATGTAAATTTTATATGTTATTTCAAATTCCTTAATAATTTCGTATATATCAATTTTCTAAAAAATTATAAAAAAATAAATCATTATAAAATATATGGAATTATAATACAGATCATCAATTACATATACAAATCTTATAAAAAATGTATCATTTTCTTATTTTGATTTTTTATAGGAATATTAATAACCTGAAGGTAGACAATTTTAATAAACTTTCTACTTTTATTAGAGGTGTTAAAGATATATCAGAAGATATCTGAAATCAAGTTATAGGTGAATTTTGAGATTGCACAAGACATCCCAACACATCATTAATGCTAACGAGATTACCTGTTATAAATTTATTTCCCATATCATTTATAATGTAGCATCAATATATGGAGGTGAAATAAATTCAGTATAAAATCTTAGAAAGTCATGGCAAAGGTCTTATTGATTGGGTTATAAAGATAGGAAATATCATTATCATAATTATTGAGGCAAAAAAGAGGACATCAATTAAGGAATTATACAGAATGCAATCCAACTGTAGACATCTATCTAGCACAATCCTAAAAAATGTAGCTATGATATAGCAGATTTACATAAAGATATAATATATAGAATTGTATCAACTGTCATAGATTGGGTAATAATCAAACTAGTTTTGCCTAACTCTGAGAATAATAGCAAAGGGAAAGTAGAAGTATTATTAAGTTTATTGTCACTCTCTCTATTACCAATTAACAAGGCTATATTGATCCATGATGATTTGGTAAAGCATATCAAGGACTTGTTTAGGCAAATTAAGTAGGTCAGATCAAATTCTAGGAATTATTGAAGTGGGTAAAAACAGAATAATAGGATAGAGTATTAGCATAGATGATATGTATTCTAAGCTAGCGTCCAAACCTCTGTATTTATTTTTATCTTATATTAATAAAAAAAATTGAATTTTGCAGGTATATATGATAAGCGAAAAAATATATATTTATGGATAAGGTTGCTTGTTTAAACTCATTTTGGATTTGGCTAAATGTTTAAACCTTTAGGTTCACTAAATTTTTACTAAATATTTAATATAATTTCGCCATTTTTATAAGCTTTGATATAGTTTTACCTTTTTCTGAATTTTGCAGATTTTTTAATAAGCTTTTAATATAATTTAACTAAGTTTATCTTTACTATTTAGACGTCTGTCTAAACTCTTAATTTCACTCAGCATCCTTAGTTATAGAACTGCTATTCTAGGGCTATAAACAATTTATTTATATTGTAATCACGTTTTAGCAAAATACTCACACTAGAGCCAATATATATTCTGGCTCTAAAACACTTATTTTGGTGAATACATATTATAATGCATTTGATTTATGCTTCAAAGAAGCTAAATTTGAATAATAGAAGAATTTTATAAGTATATTGTTTCTCTAAGCTTTTGATTCTTTATGCATTCCTATTAGTATAATCAAGTTATTTCTAGAATAATTTATTTGGATTAGGTTTTAAAGCGAAGATTGTTTATTTTTTCAAGGGTGAATAAACTCATTCCTTTTACAACAGTAGACTTCACACTAATTATAAATTTTCACAAATATTTACTCTTTCTATTAAGATAGATAAAGGTGAAATTAAAGCTGAATGATAGAAATCAGCTAAGAAGTTCAATTCGAATTCATTGATATACATAATCCCAATATCTTCTAAATAATCTGAAAGTTTATTAGCATATTTATAACCTTCACAAATCAACTTTTCGAATAATTTTGGGGTGATCTATCGGCTAATTAGTATATTAAGTACTGTTTTTTTCATATTCATAATATAAGCAAGTAAAGATAATGTATCTCATTAACATACAGATTAATTTAAATAAACTTTTATTATGAAATTAAAAGTAAAAGAGAGTTTCATAAGTTAAAATGCTTCTATAGATCGTATTACCTGCCTACATATTAAGAGAGATAATAAAGTTTGTAAAAATAAATGCTGGTATTCTAATGGTATTATAAATACTGGAAAATATATAAAAAGAATATAGAAAAAAATTTTGTATTGATTGTAGATTCCCTAATACTTCTATCATGAAGTATTATCCTAAATACTCTGTTAAGTTCTATATACTGAATTATCAGATAAGGCAAAATTATAGGATGAGTATTTACTGTAGTAAACTTGCAGTCGAGACCCTTCATACTGGAAATCTTTCTGAATTATCTGTCAAGAAGTAAGCAAAAAAAATATTATTTTTCGCATATATTAATTTTTCTTGGCACAACAAAACTTTGTGAACTAAGTTCATGAAGTAGAATCACGTGAATTTTTATTTTGAATGCAAATATACAGTGTATAAAATTATTTTTGAAATGACATCTGAGATTTATTTACTTAGGCAAGAAAATTTCAGACTTATGGCTGAGAATACTGAGTTTAAGATCAAGTATAATGAGGCTAAGAATAAGATTACAAAATTAAAGACTGAGCTTAGGAATAGAATTAAAGAATCAGAAAAAGTTAGAATAGATACTATTGCTGAGAATACTAGGCATGATATTAAAAATGTCAGATATGATGCTAAAAATGCAGAGCTTAAGGCTAAAGTTACAAAATTAGAAGAAGATTCTAGGTATTCATAAAAGGATTTCTCTTCTGAAAAACCTACTGACATATTAGACTTCATAGTAGTAAATGAAATAGTATCTACCAATTTAAAGTTATCAGAGAAAAAGACCATATACTCTTTCCTAGATAAGGTAAATAAAAAAGTGTTAGTGATGAAATTAGGCAGAAAAAGCAAAAAAAAAAGCTTATGAAAATGAAAACTGCTTCTCCTAAAAAAGATAAACAGGTATCAGTTGACAAAAGGTACTTTGTAAGGAAAATCAGAGAAAAATTTATTTAAGAAGTGTCTGAAAGGGTGGTCACTAAAGTGACTCCAAATGATTCGATACCTTCAGTATCTTCCCAAAAGAAATCGAATTTAAGCACTAATTGTTCCAATATTATAGATGAACTAAGCTTAAATTCTTTGGATGTTTGCTTAGAGAAAATAATATGAAGCTGTAATTCTTTAGCAGTAGAAATAAAAACGCCAACCTTTTCTCTTTTGTATGAAAATCTTTGTGATGCTATAATCCTTACTGATCATGCAATCTAAGAAGCTATCTTTTATTACTATTAATTTAGGAAAGCTCTTATCCAGAATAAGGTGAGATCGTATTGAAAACCAAGTTGATCTAAAATCTAATAAAGTCAGTAGAATTCTAAATATAAAAGTTAAAGTTCAGCTTTATGCAAGTATTTCTGATACACTTTTACGGAAAAGAATCAAGTAGGCTAAGAAGTTCTATACAGTCATGCTTCAATATAATGAAGTTAACATCTGGGCTGATCAGCCTTTTATTATAAGAAAATTCATTATTACTGTAACGAATTATTCAGTATAATAAATTATTATTGAAAAAGGAAAATACAAACATAATTTTACTATGATATAATTAAAGTTAATTTTATAATGTCATTTTATAGAATAAC